AAGAATGAGAAACTAGAGACATTTATAGCTAAATGGATGCATATTGAGGCCATACTCTTAAGTGAAATAAATAGAACACACATGTAAATACCTAATAGTTTGTCTGGCGTGAGAAACTAAAAGTGTAAATGAGGATCAAAATGTATAATTGATAATGTGAAATAGGAAGAAATGGTCTAAAGGAGTAGGGAAAGTGGGAGGCGTAGGGGAAAGGAAAGAAGGGAAAAGAAAAAATGTGAGGAAAGGAAAAATTGGAAACAAAGTCTTCGTAAATAGGAAAAGGTGGAGGGGGTGAAAGGAGGGCAGGGGAATGGGGAAAAAATAAGAACAAAGATACGTCATGTACAGGTACAAGATCCCAATGATGAATGTAACTGTGTTGTAGACCTGAAACATACCAATAAACTTAATCAGGAAAAAAAGTGGTAGGTGGATGTTGTGGCTTTTTTTTTTTTTTTTGGGTCCCAGATCCACTCTCTTCTCCTGTTTAGCAAGGGTCTTAAAGACAGACACCTACATTTTCAATGTAGAATTCTGGTCCCTGGTTTTAAAGGGAAGATAGAAGATCTTGTTTTAATATCATTTTGTTTGTACATTTGGACCTGCTGGGTATTCCTTGGAGAACTGATGAGTGGTACTTTTCTTCATTTTGCCTGGCTCAGAGCTATCTCAGGTCACAAAATTGGCTACCCTGGGTGGGTATTCCCTGAAAATATTGATATATAAACAGCATCCTGCTACTGCTTGCAGGAAGAAATTATGATGGAAATTATAGACATGTTGAGAATCACTGCGAAGAAAGGATTTATGTGGAAGTAGGTATATATAGGCAATTAGAAAACCACATATATTCCAACATCAGAATGTATACTAAGAAAATGCCTAACAAAACCCTCAGGTTTCATATCTACTGAGTTTCTATTTAGGCTCAATATAAGCAGAAAGTGAGAGGTAAAGTATTGAAGTAATGCTCTGACACCTAGTGCTATATCAGGTTTCTTTTTCCAACAATTAAAATAAAATCTATCACAGAAAGAGTTGAACTTAAGCTAAATTGTCAGAGACTTTGGAGTGAACACAGTGAAATAATCTTTATAAAAAAGTTTCCTAATAAAAAAATTATAAGCAACAGTAAGCATGAAGAACAAACCCTGACCATGAGAAAGAGTATGATTTCTAGTTACTACATCATAATTTCCAAAATATCTACTTTTCTATAATACAGTAAAATGCATGGAAAGAAATAGGAAAGTATGGCCCATCCTCCAAAATTTAACAAATTCTTTGGGGGAAAAATCATTGGACTTAAATAGTCAAAGATATTAAATTACATCTTACATACAATCAAAAAGTTAAAGGAGAACATGGACAAAAGGTAGAGGAAAATAGTTTAGTGATAGCTCCTAAAAGAGTATCAATAAAGATACTCAATTATGAAAAAGGTCAAAAAGAGAAATTCTGGAGCTAAATATCACAAAAGCTAAATGAGTATTCCAATCAGTTTCTGTTTCTATTTAACCTGAATCTCTTGTAGCTTTCTGTCTACTCCCATTTCTCACCTTCCTCCTCCTCCTCCTCCTCCTCTTCTTCTTCTTTTTCTTCTTCTTCTTCTCCTTCTTCTTCTCCTTCTTCTTCTTCTTCTTCTTCTTCTTCTTCTTCTTCTTCTTCTTCTTCTTCTTCTTCTTCTTC